ACCTTGCCGGGAGCGCAGGCCACTCCCGGGTCACTCAGGATTCCAAGTTCTCCCCAAGATGCCTTCGGATGCTGAGCAGCACAAGGGCCCCCCAAGGGCTGGCTGCAAAGCATCCTGCTTAGCCTGGGTGGGGGGCGCCAACTCCCCACTGCTTACTGTTTTTCCTGAGGCCAGAGGGAGTGACCAGCCAGGGAGTGGCCTGAGGAACAGAAGGAGTGGCCCTCCCAAGGGCGAGGTGGGAGGCCCAGAGCTGGGAGCGATGCAGGACTCCCCTCCACAGGCTCAGGTGGAACCTCCCCAGGGTCCTCCTGGCCAGGGAGGCAGAGAGCCGACTTCTTTCTTCAGCTCCCAGCCCAGGCCCAGCCCACAGCGTGGGAGGGAGGGGGGGAAGGAGGGGACAGGGAGGGGAGAGGGAGGGGACAGGGAGGGGAGAGGGAGAGGAGGAGGAAAGGAGGAGGAGAAGGAGGAGAAAAGAGGGAGCTCGTCCTGTCCCCAGGCAGCCCTCCCAGGGCAGAGGTGAGGCACCCGGCCATGAAGTTGGAGGACAAGTTCCCAAGCAGGGCTTCCTCGGGCTCCCCCTCGCGACAGTAATTTGACACTTGGATCTCCAGGACGACTGACAACAAAAAAGCCAGGCAGAGACAGCAGCTGGCTGTCAGCAGAGGAGCTGCACTGAGGTGCCCAGGGGAGCAGCGGCACCCACGGAGGAAGTACGAGGACAGCACAAGGAGGCTCCACGCTGGGGCGCTGCTGCTCGGCCCCCAACACCTGAGCTCCCAGGTGAGTGGCACTGGCCACAGAAGACGGAGGGATAGGGAGGGAGCAGCAAGTGTCTCCTGCCCCCGGGTGAAGGGCCACAGTCCACCATAAACACAGAGAGGAGGTCTTGGGAGACACGCCGGGTCACTTCCCTACAGGGAAGTCGGGCAGCCTCCTGCATGCACCTACGCTGCCCCTTCTGTTGGGACCCTGCGCTACGGGAGCGCTGGAGGCTCTGCTCAGAGCGCCTCCCCCTCCGCCTGCTGTGCAGCCAGAGGGGCCCCCAGGGCCTGCTTACTCTGCAAGTTCATTCAGCTCTTTCTATTCAGGGGGCTTAAAAGCGGGATTTGGCTGTCCGGCTTCGGAGAGAACGACTGCTGGCCTGCTGAGCCTCCCTTTTTCCCGGGATTAGGGCAGAGCTCAGTCGAGAAGGTCAGTGAAGGGTCTGCCCAGCCAGCGTGCGGCGCCCCCAGGATGCAGCAGGACTCTGCCCATCTGTGTCTTTTCGGGGGCTTGGCCCACTCACTGCCAGGTGTTCTCAGCTCAGGGCTCAGCCTGGGTCCTCCTTCCTGGGCCCATGTAGAACCCCATAAGCCCCCAGATCTCCCTCTGGCAATGAGGCTTGAACACCAAACCAGGAACCTGGATGACTGACTTTCAACCCAGGCTCAGGTGGGGAGGTCACAGAAGTGAGGCTAGGAGGGACTATGCCGGCATCCAAGACCTCTGCTGTGCCACCGTGATGCACAGGCTGATTGTGACACCGGCCCTAAGGAAGCAGGGCCCGGCTGTTTGGCTCTTTGGTTCTTTGGGAAGCACCAGGAGCAGCCCTCCTGGATATCCTCCTGCCTCCCTGTCCTCAAACCAGCGTTAAAGCCACCCCCAACCCCCATACATTTTCCTCAAAGCAAACAAGCTGGCATCTAGTAAGAACGAAAAACAATGACCTAGGGAAATGTGAAAACCAAGTGTTCTGGGCTTAGCAGAGGCTGGGGCTTTGGCTGGGGCTGGTGCCTGGGGAGACCAACTCCTATGGTGTTTGGGAGGCGCACAGTAGGGAAAGGGTCAGGCCAGGTGGCAGTTGGGGCACCTCGGTGAGCTTGGAGACCCCGCTGCTATTGCTCAAGATGCCCCAGGCAGGCAGGTGGGGATCCCTGTCCTACATCCATAGGACACAAGTAGACAGGGTCCCTCCAACACAGTCCCTGAACCAGGACAGAGGGGGAATAAATGGCCAGCTTCTGTAGCTGCAGAAGGAGCACCTACTGTTTCTAACACCAGCAGCAGAAAGCGCTTCCCCCTGCCCTGGGTGGCTACAGGAACAAGGCATGCCAGGGGTTCAAGTACCACTTTCTACTTTCAGTTGGAGCCAGGGCAGAAAGGGGAGTCACCCAAAGGCTCAGTGCCACAGACAGGGGCATTCCCCGGGCTGCTCAGGCACCGGACCCTGCAAATCTCCCACAAGTGGCAGTTATGCCTCCTTCTAGCTGGACCTCAAACAAGATAATGCCTGGCAGGGCAAGGGTGGCTGAAACCCACCATGACGAAACAACAGGGCAGAGCAAACAGCCCTCTGGGGCCCTGCGCCACCAGCACACCTCGCTTATCAGTCTCAAACATGCCGCCTGCTGCCAGCCCTTCCTCGTGGGGTGCCTGGGGTTGGAGTATCAGCTCTGTGGGGAGGAAGCACGGAAGCTTCAGGACCAAGTGGCAGCTGTCTGGCCTGCAGGATGCCTGCCTCTCTGTTGCAAGGCTCCATGTGCCAAGAGATGCCACACAAAGGAATGCTTCCCGTCCCTCCAGCTCTGCCAGCCTTCGCCCTGCTCATTTCCCCTGTGCCGCCTGCTACTGCAGTCAGGGTGCACCTTTGAAGGCTCCAAGCTGGGCTGCCTGGGCAGCAGGAGGGCCTGGAGGCAGCTGGGCTGCATCCCCTCTTAGGGCCAGAGGAAGCCACCACTTGCTCTGGCAGCCACTCAGGAACCCCTGAGAAACCTCCAACCAAGGCACTACCAAGTGTGGGGCTGGGAGGGACTCTGGTTGCCCTGGTTCACAGGTGGGAAGTGTGGTTTTGGAAGGAGTTAGGTGAACCTGAGATAGAAAGACTGGAAAAATACAGAATCGTAACTAGCCCTTCTGGGCTTCCCTGCCTTCCTCCTGCTGAACCTAGGAAGGGAAAGGAGAGGGGAGGTGGCCAGCCTCAGAGCTCCCACATTCCGCCCGCCACAGCTGGGAACACCAAGGTTCCCTTAGGAGCAGCGGCTGGGGCACATGCCACACAGTCACCTGACGGCTGCTGGTTATATTGGGCACCAAGCATCAGGCACTCCCTTGGCCTGGCTTTAAATAGCCCACTGGGAAGACCGCCTGGGGACCGGCTGGAATGTGCCTCCTCCTCTTTAGAGAACAAGACCCCTCAGCTCCCCAACCTACCCCACGAAGGCTCAGCCACAGGCTTATGCTCCAAATGACAAGGTATCAATTGCAAAGCAAAGGGGCTCCTGGGGTTCCTCTCCAGCTCTCTGGGGGCAGAACGGCCAAGTCCAATGACCCCACTTCTGCTAACTGAGGGACAGGATACCGTGAGCAGCCCTGATCAGACCCCCAAGGCTGGATAAGGCTGTCCATGCCTGGCTGGCATACTCAGCTCCCAGTCAGCCCCCTAGGGAAGCCCTGGGTGCAAAGCTATGCCACTCCCCCTAGCCACAGCCTGCTGCTGGTGGGAACTGACACTTTTCCCGGCTGGGGGCTGAGGTCCACCTGGCATGAGTCTGCAGCTCCCCATTTTGCAGCTCCTGGAGGCCGGCTGGAGCTTCTCAGCAACAAACCCCACTATTCCTGCACAGTAAATTCAGCCTCAGCCCAACCATCCTCCTCCCTGCTCTGGTGAGCATGACTCCAGGTCTCCATGCCACTTCTCACTCACAAGGAAAAGCTCCCCCCGCAATCTCTCCCTGAGTCTCTGGGTGTGGCACACAAGCGAAAAAGCTCTCCCTGCCCTCCCACCGCCTGCCCGCTTCCTCTTTTAAGGAGTGTCTCTGCTGGGCTACATTAGGCCGTGTGGGCACAGTGCCAATAAGGCTGAAAACACCAGAGCAAATGTAGACAGAGAGGGAGAGGAGGAAGGCAGCCCAGCTTCTGAGCCATGTGCAAACCGTCCTACAAGGGATATGGTCAGCATCATGATCCCTCTAAGAATGAGACAGCCCGGAAAGCTGGGGAGTGAGGATGGCACGGAGGTCCCAGAACCAAGAGGGGACCACTGTCCTTGTGCAAGCCTGCTCCACTGGGCCAGAGGGAGTGTCCCGTTTGGCCTGACCAGAAGGGACAGTCCTTCGCATAGGCTGGCTAGGCACACAAGACCTGTACCTGTGGTGACAAAGACTCCAGGTAGTCTCAAAGAGCCTAGTGTGGGCCCAGCCTGGTGGTGATGTGCTGATAAAAGCGGCTTCAGATCCACAAGTGTGGGCCGGGGCTGGCAAGCACAGCCAGTTGGCTTCCAGAGGGCTCTGGGGCCCTGGCTCCTGCACTGAGCCCACTGCACAAGCAGCGCCCTCAGGGGGCTCTCCTATCTAGCTGGTCTAAGCTGGAGACAGGCCTCCACTGAAAGATAGCGTGGGGCGCCAGTGGGGGTGCTGGTTGGGCCCCTGTCCTGCTGTGTAAACTCAGAGAATTCACTTGCTCTCTCAGGTCTCAGTTTCCCCATGTGTAGAAGGAAGGCGGTGGGAACGGATGACCTGTGGCATTCTAGGACCCTATGCCTGTCAGTACACTTGAAAACTGGGATCCTCACCTCTGCAGAAACACACTCACCACAGGTGAAGTGTGAGAAGCTGGGTGGATCTAACTCAGGGAACCTCCTGCTTCTGACAAGAACTCATCTAATTTTCCACGGCGCCATCTTCTGCCTGTCACCCCCATCATCCCTTAAAAAAATTTCCCGGCTGGGCACAGTGGCTCACGCCTATAATTCCAGCACTTTGGGAGGCCAAGGCAGGTGGATCACAAGATCAGGAGTTCAAGACCAGCCTGGCCAATAGTGAAACTCCATCTCTACTAAAAATACAAAAATTAGCTGGGTGTGGTAGCAGGTGCCTGTAGTCCCAGCTACTAGGGAGAAGGCTGAGGCAGAAGAATCGCTTCAACCAAGGAGGCAGAGGTTGCAGTGAGCCAAGATCATGCCATTGTACTCCAGCCTGGGTGACAGAGGAAGACTCTATCTTAAAAAAAAAAAAAAAAAAGCATAAAACAACTCTCCACCTCCAGCTCGCCTACCTTCTACCTTCCTTCACTACTCACACCACAGATGCCCTAGGACAAACACCCAAAAGGTGTTCCGGGTGCTAGTGATGGTGCATGGGGGTAATAGCCCCCAAAGCCAGTGAGACCACTCCCACAGGGGCATTCTCGTGTGCTGGGCATCCCCCACCCTGTGACTGTCTACAATGTGCTGCTAGATGGTCCTCCCAACAGCCTCAAAACACCAGCATCTCATTCCATATCAGAGACATGAAGCAACCTGCTCATGTCGAAAAAGGAAGTGGAGGTGGCATTCAAGGAAGACAGCTGAAAACATTCACGCACGTCCCCTTGCAGAGAAGGAAATCCAGAAGGTACACGGCTGCCATCTTGCTCCTGAAGGACTATGAGGCAGAAGGCGGCACAGGTCTAAGTGAGCACAAGTGGGACAAACTGGGGTCCAGCAGGGGATCCAACCTTCTGCAGGAGGTGGCCTGCCTCAGCAGGCGGGGGTTCCTCACCATCCTGGGTGCTCATGCAAAGCCCACACACAGGCCAAGTGCAGGGTGGAGGGCTCTGTTCAATGACCTTCACAGTGGTTCTAAACCAGCTCTGCCAAGGCAGCAGCACCAGGAGGGACCAGCCTCACTGCCTGCAGCCATCTCAGGGAGAACCGGCTGAGACCTGGGCGAGGCCACAATCATTACAGCCAAAGTCTGGCATTCGCCCCTGCCACCTTGCCCCCCCCCCCCCCCCCCGGGTTTCAAGCAACTGCCTGGATTACGCTGGGGTGGGACAAGGCTGTCTCTGGTCTCTCTCTAAAGAGGCTCCAGCTCCCTCACGCCCACAGGAGAGGCAGAAGAGGAAAGTGGCTCAAAGACACAACAGCCCAGACAGGCTCAGCCTGCAGCTGCACCCTGGGCCTCTCAGGCACCCTGAGACAGGAAGAGGCTCTCCTGGGGCAGGGGTGGGAGTGGAGAGGACTTTCCTGGTCAGGCTAGAGAAACAGGTGAAGCCAGCAGGGAGGAGCTGACTTGAGCAGCCCGGGCCTCCTGACACCCTCCCAGCAGACAGGACAGAGTCCTGGCAAAACCTGGAGGGACATGGTTCGGCCATTCCGCCATGGAGAACACATGAGTGTGGAAACTGGGCTGGTGGGAGAGCTGGGGTGGCCTCTCTCCCCTTGGGAGAACATGCATGGGTTCAGAAACTGGGCTGGTGGGAGAGGTGCGGGGAGGTTCTCCCTCACAGGAGAACACACTTGACTGTGGAAACTGGGCTGGTGGGAGAGGTAGGGTGTCCTCTCCCCACTTGGGAGAACACACATGAGTATGAAAACTGGGCTGACGGAAGAGGTGGGGGGCCCTCTCCCCCACAGGAGAACATTCATGAGTGCAGAAACTGGGCTGGTGGGAGAGGTGGGGGGGCCTGGGGGACGGGGACAGTTTTCACCTCTGCTGACCCTGGCCAGAAGCCCTATGAACCTGCTCTTGAGAGAACCTGCTTCTTCTGTCCCCATATTGATGGAAGGCAAGAGTACCAGCTTGGCATCCTATGCCAGTCTGGGAAGACTGGGGGACCCAGGGACCCAGCGGCCAGCAGGGAGCTGTGCCAGTCCCAAGCACCCTGGCAAAAAGGCAAAACCTAGGAGTGGTGCCTCAAGACAAGGGAACACAACAGAAAAGCCAGAAACCACCACCAACCTTGGCCTTGGCCGGCAGCCCCTGAAACAAGCCCTCGGTCTCACTGTCATCACCAACTTCTCCTACCCTGGGCTGTGTCAGCTAAGTGGGGACTGAGGGCCACCACTAGGTAGAAGTCACCGGGGTGCAATGCGTGAGACCTGACAAACTCGTTCTGCGGGCTGCGGATGGGTGCGAGGGTGGAATCTCGGTGCTGCGGCTAGTGTGGGGCCAGCTGTGGAAGCTCCAGTTGTTCTCTCTGCCCCGGCACAGCCTGGCAGGAGCCCCGACAGGAAGCCAGCACAGCATGGCCACCACCAACTTCGTGCAGGAGATGCGAGCCGTGGGCGAGAGGCTGCTGCTCAAGCTGCAGAGACTGCCCCAGGCTGAGCCCGTGGAGATCGTGGCCTTCTCGGTCATCATCCTTTTCACAGGTCAGTCGGGGCACTCAGCGCCCCATGGCTCACCCTGGCATCTGAGAGAGACCACACCATAGTGCTAGCCAGAGGGCTGGCAGAGGCGGCGGTTATCTCCCAGATCAAGGAGGAATGCCAGTTGTCCCTTGGAGGAAGCCAAGGGACTTCCCTCATCCCCTGATATGCTGCTTGGATGATGGGCAGTGCTGGGAACTGGGCCCAGCAGCACCCCAGGACCCCATTGCAGGGATGACAGGAGCCAGGCCTGGAAAGGGAAAGAGGAGACACAACAGGGAGGAGGCTGGCCCAGGCAGCCGGCATGGGGACCATCCACACCTCTCATCAGCCTCTCGGGTCTTTCCGACTCCTCCACAAGACCTGTGAGGGAAGACCCTAGCACGCAGCAGGTTTCTCTGGGAGGAGGGTGGGCATCCTTTCTCTCCCCTGCCTGAGTCTGCTCTCTCCCTGCCCTCCAGCCACTGTTCTGCTGCTGCTGTTGATAGCCTGCAGCTGCTGCTGCACTCACTGCTGCTGCCCCGAGCACAGAGGCAGGAAGGTCCAGGTGCAGCCGACACCACCATGAGGGACGGGGGATGGCTGAGAAGCTGGAGAGGAGACGGCCAACGCCATGACACAGGTCATCAGCCTGGCCCTGCAGCCCTCGCCCCCTCAAAACCAGGCTCCCCTGGCCCCAGCTCTCAAATGGCCCAGGTACCTGGACACTGACACCTGGAGCCCTACCAAGGAAACCAGGCTGGTATAGCTGCAAACCTCTCACCTGCCTGTGGATACCGGGTGCTGAGGAGTCAACTGTTTCAAAGACTGGGTCAACTGCCTAGGCTTCTTCGCCTACTTGCGCTTTTTAACAGAACAAGGAAGTAGGGGTCCCCATCTGTGAGCAACTGGCCCTTGGGGCTCTACTGATCCATGCCAAAGAGAAGCAAGGCAATCAGAGGGGCTCTGTGCAATAGCTTCTGCATCCGCACTCTGCCAGCGTGTGAACATGTCAGTATTCTAGTCCAGTATTTGCCCATTTCCAAGTAAAAGCCTTTGGGTTATGTGCTTCTGTGGTGCCAGACCCCCTGAGGTTGGGCTGAACTCTGTGCATCCAGAGGGGGTGTGGCCTCTACTCTCCCTGTGCCCATGAAAGCTGGAAAACCACACAGAGAAGAGTGCCACGCAGGCGGTAACACCACGGGACCAGTGGAGGGTGCCATGAAATTCCTGTCATGCATTAGCTGCTAACGAGCTCTGCCAGGCTGAGGCTTAGGCTAGCTAGGCTCAGGAATAGCACTTAACTCTCTTTACTGCCTGCCTCTTTGGCCTGTACACCCCAAACTAGCAGACTCAGGCCGGTGGGTCTTCGAAAACTGCCAGAGGAAGGCCCTAATGTAATCTGCATGCTGACCCGGTGGCCCTCCCCCACTTGTGTGCTGTCTGGGCTCACACCCTCACCCTGTCAGCTGCGTCGTGACTCAACCTCCCTAAGCCTAATTCCTCCTCGGTGAAATGGGGCAAATCCTGGTACTGCTTCTTGGGGTGTGCTGTGAGAATAAACGCAGATGACTTGCGTCTAGCACTTAGCACGGTGCTGGCCATATCCAAGAGCCTCATCAACATGAACCACAACTATCTGCCCCTTGAAACATGGGACCAACCAGGGGAAGTGGGACCCATTTTAAAGACTGGTCCTGCTCCGTTCAGCTGAGTTTTTCTTCCAGAGAACTTTCCAGCTACAGCTACAAAGCCAGGAGTGCGGGGAAGGGAGGCACAGGGCTCCAGAAACGTCAATGCGGCCGAACAGAGCATCCCGAGGTGCCTCCCCAGGGCTTCTCCAGAGCCACGAGGTCTGTGTTTTTCTGTTTTCTTTTTTGAGAGGGAGTCTTGCTCTGTTGCCCAGGCTGGAGTGCAGTGGTGCGATCTCAGCTCACTGCAACCTCCACTTCCTGCGTTCAACGACTATTCTGCTTCAGCCTCCTGAGTAGCTGGGATTACAGGCATGCACCACCATACCCAGCTAATTTTCTGTATTTTTAGTAGAGATGGGGTTTCACCATGTTGGCCAGGCTGTCCCGAATTCTTGGCCTCAGGTGATCCTCCCAAAGTGCTGGGATTACAGGCGGGAGCAGCAAGCCTGGCCGAGAGGTCTGTGTTTTTCACATGCTTCTATCATTTTGCCCTGCATGGCCATGCTCTGGCTGCCTGGGAGCAGAGCCCTGTCTACCTGAGAAACATGTCATGGAGAGGGGATGCCAGCCCCTGCCACAGCCATGCCATTTCAAGCTGGCAGTCCAGGCCACACTGGCAGTGGCAGGCAGGGAAGAGGAGCTCTCACCGTCTGCTTTCACTTTCTGGTGTCCACAGACTTGCCTGACAGGTTTAGGTTAAAGACCCAGAGAAGTGTAGAAAAGAAATTCAAGAATTTGCCCATTCTCAGCTCCCTCCAAAGAACAGGATTCAGAATAATGATGATGATGATGATGATGATGATGATGATGATGATGAAGATGGCTAAAATTTGCTGAGGGCTTACACACACTGAGCATTGTCTTCAGCACTCTGGTGCAGATAAACTCATTTACTCATCACAATACCTCAGTGTTGAAGAGAACACTGTTACCCCCATTTAGAGATGAGGACATGGATTGATGCTAGCTTGCTTGTCTAAGTTCAACCAGCTGAAAAGCGGCAGAGCCAGCCTGAGTCCAGCCTGTCTGGCTCCAGAGCCTCTGCTCACCACACCCAGGGCTCCCGACCCAGAATGTGGCCTCCTGGGTGCAGGACAGACAAGGCTCTAATTCCATTATCCTCCAGTGACCAACCCTATACCCAAAACACCCACATACCAAACTTTGTCTCAGACTAACCTTCACAGGAGTGGGTGGGACCCAGCAGGTAAGAACTGGGGTGATGCCCAATGAGGTGTCCCTCCCAGAAAAACACAGGGGAGTGGACAGACAGGAAACCCTGCATTTTTCCCTCCCAGCACCAATGGCTGGAGGGTCCCTGGAAGCTGTCTGATTGGGAGATGCCCCAACAGGGAAGCAGCTCAATTCCTGGGTGACTTTTCCATAAGCCAGTTTTCGTCAGCATAAGAATGGCCCTGCTGGAGGGTGGCTGAGGCTGAGGCTGAGGCTGAGGCTCTTTGCTAGAAAATATTCTGCTTCTCCAGCCTAGTTGCAGAGAGGTGGGAACCACAGACAGCCCTGGGCACAGACAGGCTGAGTGGCCGCTCCAGGGCAAGTGGTGCACAACTGCTGACCCCACACAGGATTCAGTCCTTGCCGTCATAGAACTCACTCCCTGCTCCTCGGCCAACTGGCACACACTCAGCCCAGCTGTCGGGCAACTCCTTCTCAGGCTTCAAACCCACTGAGATGAACAAACCAGGTCTGCTCTCCGACAGCAGCCTGGCCCACTCCTTCAAGAGGCAGCTCCTCGTGCCAGTCTTCCCTAGGGAAGATGGGCATGGAAAGGCGGCAGCAGTTGTCCTACTATGGGAAAGAATAAACACAGCTGCTGCAGACCTGGGCGGCCTGAAGACAGGCGGGGGCCATGGCGGGGGCGGCCATCAGGCTGGTTTCAGGTTTAGAGGCCATCTGACTTGGCCACCACCTCTCTGTTCCTGCCACTGTGCTTTGCCGGACCACACCACCATCAATGCTTACTGTGATCACTGCAGCAGCATCCTAAGTGGTCCCGACAATCATCTCGCTAGCCTCTTCATGCCCACCCCCAGCTGTGGCCTCTGCTTCCACCACAGGACAGGCTGCTCTTGGCTCCTCAAAAGGGCTGCACTGTACTCAGAAGACCTGTGTGCCATACTGTCTGTATGTCATGCCTGATTAAAAACTACAATAGGGCTGGGCGCAGTGGCTCATGCCTATAATCCCAGCACTTTGAGAGGCCAAGGCAGGCAGATCATTTGAGGTCAGGAGTTCGAGACCAGCCTGACCAACATGGTGAAACCCCAGCTCTACTAAAAGTCCCAAAAAAATTTGGCCAGGTGTGGTGGTACATGCCTGTAGTCCCAGCTACTCAGGAGGCTGAAGCAGGAGAATCACTTGAACCCAGGAGGCAGAGGCTGCAGTGAGCCGAGACTGTGCCACTGGACTCCAGCCTGGGCAACAGAGTGAGACTCCCTCTCAAAAAAAAAAAATGAAACTACAGTAGGCCAGCACAATACATCACATGCATGTAACCCCAGCACTTTGGAAGGCCAATGAGGTAGGATCCTTGAGCTCAGGAGTTTGGGACCAGCCTGGGCAACATGGGGAGACCCTGTCCCTACAAAAATAAAAAAAATACGTAAAATAAAATAAAACCGACAATAAAGCCATAGATACAAGAATCTCATTGCAAAACTTGGCAGAGTATAAAAAAGTTTCCTGGCCGGGCGCAGTGGCTCACCCTGTAATACCAGCACTTTGGGAGGCTGAAGCAGGTGAATAACCTGAGGTCAGGAGTTTTGAGACCAGCCTTACCAACACAGAGAAACCCCATCTCTACTGAAAATACAAAATTAGCCAGGCGTGGTGGCGCAGGCCTGTAATCCCAGCTACTCAGGAGGCTGAGACAGAATTGCTTCAACCTGGGAGTCAGAGGTTGCAGTGAGCCAAGATCACGCCATTGCACTCCAGCCTGGGCAACAAGAGCAAACTCCATCTCAAAAAAAAAAAAAAAGTTTCCTTCCAGCCAGGCATGGTGGCACACGCCTGTGATACAGGCTGAGGCAGGAGAATCGCAGAGGTTGCAGTGAGCCAAGATCACGCCACTGCACTCCAGCTTGGGCTACAGAGTGAGACACTGTCTCAAAAAAAAAAAAAAAAATTATCCGATTGGGCCTAGCAATTAATTGAAAAAGCTGGTTAAAGCAACTTTCGTTAAAAAACACCTAAGTTCTCTACACATCTCATTTTATTATTTTCTTACACATCTCGCATTAAATGGAAACATACACGTTCTTACTCCTAGGCTGGTCTTCCTGACCTTTCTCTGAGTGTGGGCTTGCTGACCAGAGTTCCTGTATTGTTACTTTCTAGTTTTGGTTTCTTTAAAACAGAGCAAGAACTTAAAGGCAAAGGAATCTGAGTGTGAAAGCCATCTGGGTTTTTACAAAATGTCCCCAATGTTCAGTTATCATGTCTGCATCTTTTTCAACAGAAACATTCTCTGAGTAATTCCAAAGTCATCCCAAAGTGGTCAACAGGTATTTATAGAAACAACTCGTTCGTCTACTCGCTCTGAGGTGCAGCACAGGTGCTTCAGAGCTCAGACTGTGCCAGTGGATTCAAACTCCAACTCACTTACTAGCTGATGACCTTGGCTAAGTTATTTAACCTGTCTGTGCCTGTTCCCCATATGTAAAATTGGGGTTTCAGCTATTATTGCTGCTTTGATGGTTCCTGGGATGTTAAATTCAATTATGTAATTACAAGTACAACTGCCATGAACAGGTTTGGGAACCAACTTGACTCTTGATAAGCATCTGATTTAACTGAAGGAGCCGCAGGCCAAGGGTGTGCTAGAGACTGGCCTACTGCTGTGAGTGTTCAGCATGCCAAGGGCATTAGTCAGTAAGTTTCACACAAGGAAACGGAAAGCATTAGGTAAGCCAGGTCAGTGACGCCCCTGATAGTTAAGAACAACTGTACTAAATCTGTCACCATCTGTCATCCAACCCTGGCCACAATGAGGGGAATCACCTGGGGAACTGTAAACAACATGACGTCCTGGCACCCCCAGAGGCTGATGTAAGTGGTACCAGGTGGCCTGGGCATTTCTAAAAGCTCCCAGATCTTTACGAGCAGGGATGAGCACCCAAGGGCTAGAAGGGAAGCCCTTGGAGGGCACGGCCCGCCTTTCTGATCTCACAACTGTACAGTGCCTGGCATGGTTCCTGGCCACAGCGGGCCCTCACATCCTAGCTTTTAAATGAATAAATGGTGGCCACTAGGTTTCACACACTGGGGACAGGCTTGATTCCCTCTTCCCGGCTCTCCTACTGTGCCAGTAGGCAGAAATCAACCACACAATATTGCTGAGGACAAAGGCACCAATAGGAAGCCTCAGCGGGGAGCAACACTTCCCCCAGAAACAGTTCCAGGAGGTGCCAGGCGCCAGCCAGGGCTGCAGTTAATCATTCACCCCACAGCACAGGAAGTGAGGCCTACGCCAGTCCCAGCCCCAGCCCCACAGCACAGGAAGTAAAGCCTACGCCAGTCCCAGCCTCAGGACTTCCTGAGCTCCGGGCAGGTCCTCTCAGTCCACACATCATCCAGATGGGACAGCCCAGTCCAGACCAGCCACAGGTGAGGTGGCCTGATGGCCTGGGGCAAAGGCCCTGGGTCCAGTCTCTTCCCCATCCACCCCAAATCTGTCTTCTCTCAGGAGGGACTCATTAACACATGTGTCCTGAGCACCCCCAAATGACATCACACAAGGGCAGAAAGCAGCTGATGGGGGAATGTGAAAGGCAGAAAGGGAGCCACGGTTGCCAGGCAACCAGCCTAGCCCACCTTTGTTTGCTTTGGTGACAGCAATGAAGGTATGGTCAGGGCCCCTTGGCCATGCTCACGCCTTTTCCTCTCGACAGTGGCTTGAGTCCGGGTGCACCTCTGGTCACCTGGCAGCCTCTTCAGCTCAGCCCCTCACAAAGTGTAGGCCTGAAGGACCACCCTGAATTGCCCTTGTAGGACCCAGGACGGCTACCCAGCAGAATCAGGTAATGGCTCCCTCCTTCCCCACCTGGGCCCCTCACCTGGCCACAGGCTTGCAGTCTGTGATAACGAGCTCTGCTTCTAGAAGTTCTGTTCTCAGCTGTCTCCAAGAAGCCTACCGAGGCCTCAGGTGGAGTTGGCCCCTCCTTGGCTGCTATACAGATCTCTCGAATGCCTCCAAATGTTTGGCAGTTGGGGCGGGAAAAACCGGGAGGATCTATCGTAGTACTTTTTAGATTCCAGCCAAGCAGGTCTTGGGAATGGGAGAGAAAGTTCTTGCTCATGCCAGGGCTACTCAGGAAAGAAGGATTAGAGAATCCAGGGGCAGCCCCCAGGAAGAATCCAGGGACCCCCTTCTTGCACCAGTCCTGGCTCCTATAGCTAGAGTGGGGAAACACCATTTGCTGCTGGCTGGAGGCACTGATCACAAAGACTATCCAGCCCTTCCATGTCCCCCAGCTGCCGGGGAGGCTGGCTGCTCACAGAGGCTGCTACAGAGACTTGAGTCAGGGAGCAGAGCAGAGCACCTGGGACAGGCCTGGGAGGGCCGCCTGCACTCAGGTCCTCTGTCCCTCTTTTCCAGATTCTCATGGACCAACTAGTAATCAAGAAGACAATCTGGAATGATGAGTTCTGGCAGAACCCCTGGGACCAGGGGGGCCTGGCAGTGATTATCTTATTCATCGCCGCTGTCCTGCTTCTCATCTTATTTGCCATCATGTTTGATTTACTCACTTCCACAAAAAACACCCAGTGTGAAAAGCGTGAAGAGGAGTGACCTGACTTTCTAGGGGCTGAGATGGCAGCAGGGGGAGGCGAGCTGACCTCCCCCTATTCTGGTAGTGGGTCCCTCTGTGATTGCCTCTGGCTCAGGGGCCAAGCCCTGGTGTCTTCTTTTCCCACCAGGAAAGAATCTAGGAAAATACTGCATCTGGCTTAGGGTTACTCAGACTAACAAGATGGGGAGGCTGGTCTAAGACCAATTCTGGGTTCCTGACCTGATTGTTTTTAGGGAACCCTAAAAGCACATGGAGAGGACAGCTCCACTGGCTCTGGTGGAAGGAGCAATGGCTAACAAGGTTCTCTAACAGGCTCACAGGCCCAGCCAGCAATTTCACAAATCCTTGACAGAAAAAGACATAACCAAATGAAGAAAAAATTCCTTTTCAAATCTGCTAAGTTGTGAGAGCTCATTTTTAATCTAGATATAGCCACCAGGGCAAGCTTCCCGAACAAAGCCTCACCCGGGCCTGCAGGTCCCTATGCGGTCTGGCCCGCCTGTCTCCAGCCATCTCACTCACTCATCCCATCCCACCCTGCCCCTGGGTTCTCAGCATGTCTTTCAGTTCTGGAATATGCCATGTTCTCTCCCACCACAGGGTCTTTGCACATGCTATTCTCATTGACTGGGATGCTCTTACACCATACTTTACTCCATGGCTTAGTTAGTCCTTCCTCATCCTTCATATCTCAGTTTGAACCTGACTCCCTCAGGTAAATCATCCCTAACCCTTGAGGATTAGGGTAAGGCCACCTGTTTTATACTCTCAAAATACCATTTACAGGACTTACATGTCTTTTTTTTTTTTTTTTGAGATGGGGTCTCACGCCCATTGCTCAGGCTAGAGTGCAGTGGCACAATCTTGGCTCACTGCAGGTTTGGCTTCTGAGTTCAGGTGATCCTCCCATCTCAGCCTCCTGAGCAGCTGGGACTACAGGCATGTGCCACCATGCCTGGCTAATTGTGTGTGTGGTTTTTGGGGTTTTTTTGTTGTTGTTGTATTTTTAGTACAGACAGGGTCTTGCCATGTTGCCCAGGCTGGTCTTGAACTGCCAGGCTCAAGTGATCCTCCCACTTCAGCCTCCCAAAGTACTGGTATAAAAGGTGTGAGTCTGGTCAGGAGCGGTGGCTCATGCCTGTAATCCCAGTACTTTGGGAGGCCAAGGCGGGCAGATCACCTGAGGTCAGAAGCTCGAGACCAGCCTGACCAACATGGAGAAACGCTGACTCTTACTAAAAATACAAAATTAGCTGGGCATGGTGGCACAGGCCTGTAATCCCTGCTACTCAGGAGGCTGAGGCAAGAAAATCACTTGAACCCTGAAGGCAGAGGTTGCAATGAGCCGAGATCATGCCATTGTACTTCAGCCTGGGCAGCAAGAGCAAGACTCCATCTCAAAAAAACGGGTGTGAGCCACCATGGCCGGCTCTGGGACTTACATGTCTCTACTGTGTCTGTAGTGCTCTCTTCCCCACTGGACCAAGCACCATAAAGCAGGGGCGGGGCTGTTTCTGCCCACCATTGTATTCCCCATGTTCAACGTGCCTGGCACAGAGTTGGCATCAGTCAATATTTGTTGGCTGAGTAAATGAATGAATGAGCAAACACACAGATAAGAAGATGCCGGGCACCCCCATCCCCAAGATCCCAGGAGACAACAGGGCCCAGTTCAGTCCAGGTCTAAATATAAGGCTGCTCTTCTATCTCAAAATGCTGAGGCCTTAAGCTGGAGGTTGCTTCAAACCTAATGACTTTTCCTCATGATTCTAAAAGATGCTTATTGTCATGAATAATCAAACACTGCTTTTTCAAGGCTATAGCCCAGAGAAAGTAACTACATGCAGAGAAGAAAGGAAACCGCTGGCTGCCACAGCCCCGCCTCATTAGTCACTGACCCAAGGACCTGGTCAGACCCCATAACAAACTGACAGGAAACCTACAGCTTCCTTTGCAGAAATGTACCTACTTCGGCTGAGCCGCCAGGTGCCTACCCCAAGGGATTGCTGGTGGGAGGCTGCTTCAACTTCAGCCTTCAACGGGAACCATTCTTAGGGAGCAAATATCTGGTGGAGAAGGGGCTCTTTCTTTGTGCTATACACCAGTTAAGAAACATTCACTTATTCGAAGAACAGTAGCCAATACCAACATACCACCAGTGTTTGTTACAGCCTGCCGCCTGGATTTCAGAACCATCACACATAGCAAAGGAGACAGGTACGAGGCTGCACAAGAGGCAGCTTGAGGCTGTCACCTGGACTCCTCGGGTCCACAGATGCCTGGACCCCAGCCCCTGGCAACCAGGTCACTGATGCACTAAGAATTCCCAGCTCCCTGCAAGATGACAGGAGAAACAAAGGCAGAGGCCCTTAGGAGGACCTGTTCCCTTGCCTGGCAGGCTGAGCAGACCCTGGGGATAGCCAGTGTTAACCCTCCAGAGAGCCTTCCAGAGCCTCAGACAGCCCCAGGGCTTTTTTTCAGCAAAGAGGACTCACAACGAACAGAAACACTTGGCCCTTTCATTCCGCACCAGAAATGAGAGCTCTGCTCAAGAAGCCTAACAAGGCCAAATTTAGCAACCCCTGTATTAATTGTGCTTGAAAAGGGCTCTGGTCACAACGGCTGCAGGCCAAGGGTGGTCCTGGCACTACAGCCAACCACTTCTGCTGGGCGTGGTCGTGCCACAGAGGCCAAATTAGAGATGGCAGTTTGGAGAAGAAAATAGCTTCATTCCAGGAGCCACCGACTCAGCGGTGAATAGGAGGAGGTAGAAATAAAAATATACAGCCCAAAGAAGAGCTGCTCTGATTCCCTGAGGAGAGCCCAGACATCTGCTAGACACCGGTTCCGTGCACTTAGCATCGTGCTTCAGGACACTCCTCTTGCAAAAACCAAGATGGCCCAGGTGTATGAAAATGAGCACACCACTGAAAATCAGGAGATGGGGTTTAGTAGCCTCAGTCTACCATGAGTTTTGTGACTGTGACCTCCCTGGACCTCGATTTATTCACCTAAGTCTGATGCAGTCACGTCAGCATCATCCCCTCACAGGATCATTCCATGAGATCAGATGAATCCAAAAACTTTTTAGACCAAAATGTAAATGACTCCTCCTGGTGTCCCTCACCCAGGCACTCACAGCTCCACGTGCCTGGACACGACCTGACTACACTGAGCAGTCCTTTGGCTCTTTCCAGGGTCCTAGCCCCATTGCCTGAAGATGCAGGTAAAACAGATGAGTGGATTCAAAGCACATGACTCCCTGAGGTAAGCGGGGCCACGGGCTTCTGTGTGGGTCCTGGATAAGGGTGAGGACTGCTCAAGTGAAGCCAGAAGTCCCAGCTCGGTGGCACACAATGACTACAAAGCTGACAGCTCAGAGCTGGTCACATCCCTTGGGACTGAGTGGCCTATGATGCCAGCCATCTCAGAAGAGGGTGGAGTGGGGGGAAGGATACCACCCAGAATGCTGAGCAAATCCCCACACTGCCAGAGTTCCTGGGGCCTCCAATAGAGGAGAGCAAGGTCCTGACTTCCACGCTGCCCAATGCAACGGCCTTTGCAGGCGAGGGTCCCTTGGTAGCCTACAGGCTGTCTTACATCAGCTGCTTAACTAAGGGGTGCCGGGGGAGTAAATGATGTCACTGACACTTGGCTCCATGTACAAAATAAGTCACTTACCCCAGTTCTTCACAGAAGGTCACCAGGGCATCAAAGGCCATGATACTGGCTTTATCGGATGCTTTGCTCCCTCTCTTTTCCTGGGGACAAAAAAATGACCACTTACCAAGTCTTATAGAATTGGACTACCTTAGAGCCACAAAAAGTAATGAGGAGGCCGGGCACAGTGGCTCACACCTGCAATCCCAACACTTTGGGAGGCTGAGGTAGGCAGATCATTTGAGGTGAGGAGTTCGAGAACAGCTAGGCCAAATGGTGAAACCCTGCCTCTGCTAAAAACACAAAAAAATTAGCCAGGCATGGTGGTGCACGCCAGTAGTCCCAGCTACTCAGAAGGCTGAGGCAGAAGAATTGCTTGAACCCAGGAGGCGGAAGTTGCAGTAAGCCAAGATCATGCCACTGCACTCCATCTCAAAAAAAGAAAAAAAGTAACGAGGGAGAAAAATATTAACTGACAGTAACAAGGCCACTTAAAAAGTATCCCTAGACCTGACTATATATCATAACCACAGACTACTGAACTGAATTTTCTGGGATGAGCTTTTGAGCATTTCTGAAAAGGTTCTCAGGAGATTCTCATGTAAAGAGCCCATGGACTGGCATTTGGGAAGCACTATATAATATGACCCATTTTAATAACAGTAAATACATGCACAAATGTTGCGTACTTAACATATGTATGAACATATATATTTGAGTGTATATTGGAGGGAGATATATTAAAATGTTAAGTGATTATTTTTGACAAGCTTAAAACATGAATTTAAAATACAATTTATATGTTACTGGATGGCAAGAAATGGAAAAGAAAAAAAGAAGAAAAATAAATAAATAAATAAATAAATAATAAAATACAATTTATAAAATGCTTCATCTATGGCTGGGCGTAGTGGCTCATGCCTGTAATCCCAACACTTTGGGAGGCCAAGGCAGGGGGATCACCTGAGGTCAGGAGTTCGAGACCAGCTTGGCCAACATGGTGAAACCCCATCTCTACTAAAAATACAAAAATTAGCTAGGCATGGTGTTGCACACCTGTGATCCCAGCTACTAAGGAGGCTGAGGTAGGAGAATCACTTGAACCCAGGAGGCGGAGGCTGCAGTGAGCCGAGATCGTGGCACTGCATTCCAGCCTGGGCAACAGAGTGAGATTCCATCTCAAAAATAAATAAAATAAAATTCCTGATCTGCTAACTCAGAAGCCCATGGTGTGGGGTGGGGGTGGGCAGCTGTCAGCTACACCAGGAGAGCAAGATGGCAGGGGTGTGGCCCTCCCTCCCAAGCCCATCTGTTGGCACCCTCATCCAATTGAAAGGACAGTCTCGCCTTGGGCCAGGAACCACTATTAGGTGAGGGATGGGCACTATAGATTTTGAATGTGGAGACTTGGTCAGGGCAGTGGAACTCTAAAGATGGCAGCCAACTTCCTTCCTTGCCTACTCCTGAAGGTAATTCCCCTCTTACTGACAGAAGCTGTTACAGCTCTGCTCAGAGACAGTTCCTGGCTTCACTCTGCTATAAGCCTGTCTATGGACTTGTGGCTGAATCAACTAGAACAGTGAGCATTTGTGAGTGATGTCATTATGCATCAGTGGCCTTTTTTATGTACATGTCTATTTGCCGACATATCCTTTTAAAATATTGTGAATTATTTTTTAATACAGAAAAGAAAAAGGAAAAAAAAAGGCCAGGGACAGTAGCTCACACCAGTAATCCCAGTACTTTGGGAGGCCAAGGTAGTCAGATCACTTAAGGTCAGGAATTCGAGACTAGCCTGGCCAGCATGGTGAAACCCCATTTCTACTAAAAATACAAAAATTAGCCGGACCTCCTGGGCTCAAGTGATCCTCCCACCTCAGCCTCTAGAGTAGCTGGGATTACACTGGCAGGCACCTGTAATCCCAGCTACTTGGGGGGCTGAGGCATAAGAATCATTTGAACTTGAAGGCAGAGGTTGCAGTGAGCCATGATTGTGCCACTGCCCTCCAGCCTGGGCGATAGAGACTCTGTCTCAAAAACAAATAAAAAAAACGAGACACTGATATTGGAGACATTGTCTACTGAGTTTCTGCTTTGGGCAGGTAACTCATCCCCACCAACACCACCAACACACACAGATACACACAGGTTCTGTACCTGCAACTTTCCAAATACGTTTACAAAACAATTTCTTATGAAATCCCTATTTTCCTTATTACGACTATGTCAACAGAGTTCAGAGCTAAACCGAGTGATTACATTTTTATATTTCCTATGATCACATTTCCTTCTTGTATAACTGTGTTTCCCCTGAAATTAATATCTTTGCTTTTTTCTATTTACTTAGATTTCAGTATGTCATTAATTTAGCCCTAACAGTCCTAACACAATGAACAGTTCATTTTGATAGCAGCCAGAGATGCCAGCTTCCACTGTGATTTTTGGAACCTTCCTTCCTGGAGTCTTCTGCCCCCTAGTGCAATCTGGACCCGTTTTCCGTAGGCCTGGGACACAGCTACCTTTCAGGACTACCCTCCAATATTGTCCTGCGCCAAGACTTACTCCTGGGTAAGTCTCCATCTTTGCTTTCTAGGTTTACTGCCTCTTTACAACAGAGAACATACTTTAATAGCTTCTGAGACATGACATACTGGGGAAAGTTTTTCAAACCTTTGTATCTGAAAATGTCTTATTTCCTTCAAGTTTCCACATACAGCAGTAAATATTTATTTATTCATGATTTATTTAGGAAACAGAGTCTTGCTCTGTTGCCCAGACTGGAATGCAGTGGCATGACTGTAACTCACCACAGCCTTGAATTCCTGGGCTCAAGCAATCCTCCCGACTTGGCGTCCTGAGTAGCTAGGACTACAGGCGCATATTACCATGCTCAGCTAATTTTTATTATTATTTTTTGAAACAGGGTCTCAGTCCGTTACCCAGGTTGGAGTGCAATGGTATGATCTCGGTTGACTGCAGCCTTGACCTCCTGGGCTCAAGTGAGCCTCCCACCTCAGCCTCTCGAGTAGCTGGAACACACACCCAGCTAATTTTTAAATATTTTGTAGAGATGAAGTCTTATTACATTGCCCAAACTAGTCTCAAACTCCTGGCCTCAAGAGATCCCCTCATGTCATTTTCCCGAAGTGTTGGGATTATAGGCATGAGCTACCTCACCTGGCCTAAATTTGAGCATCTTTAAATGTGTCATTTGATAAACTTTTCTGGGAGCTTTCTTTTCATATTCTTTGCTTTTCATATCCTTTTTTTTTTCCTGTCAATAGGTAAAAGCTGTTTATTCTTTTGTTTGCCTTCTATATTGAAATATTTCCCCAGATTTTACTTACCTATTGACACTGTTTATGGTATCCTTTGTCATATTTCATATTTTCAGGTTTTATAGAAATTTAAGTTTTTATATTTAATAAAAATATAAAAATTAAAAAGTTTTATATTTAATAAAAATATAAGTATATTTTATTTAATAAAAATATAAATAAAATATAAAATATAAATATAGAAATTTAAAAGTTTATATATTTAATATATAGCAGGCCGGGTGCAGTGGCTCACACCTGTAATCCCAACACCTTGGGAGGCCAAGGCGGGCAGATCATGAGATCAGGAGATGAAGACCATCCTGACCAACATGGAGAAACCCCATCTCTACTAAAAATACAAAAAATTAGCTGGGCTTGGCGGCATGCGCCTGTAGTTCCAGCTACTCAGAAGGCTGAGGCAGGAGAATCACTTGAACCAGGACGGCGGGGGTTGCAGTGAGCTGAGAGTGCGCCACTGCACTCCAGCCTGGCGACAGAGCGAGACTCTGTCTCAAAAAACAACAAAAACGAAAACACAATAGATAGCTATCTGGGTTTCTAATCTTCATTATAAAAGTATCCTCAGTTCTAGACTATACATTGGACTACATTTTCTTGTAAAATATTGCTTATTATTTCAACATAGGTCCTTAATCTGTCTGGAATTTGTTTTTTATTTGGTTGTTTTTGAGACAGGGTTTCTGCTGCCCAGGCTGGAGTGCAGTGATGGGATCACACCTCGCTGTAGCTTCAACCTCCCAAGCTCAAGCGATCCTCCCACCTCAGCCTCCTGAGTAGCTGAGACCACAGGCTTGCACCACCATGCCAGGCGAATTTTTGAAATTTTTGTAGGGATGGGCTTTCACCATGTTGTCCATCCTGGGCTCAAGTGATCCACCTACCTCAGCCTCCCAAAGTGCTGGGATTACAGGCATGAGCCACTGCACTTGGCTCCAGAGCTTGTTTTCTCCTGATAAGATCTGAGTTTTCTTTATCTAAACCAACGGCTGTCAACCCTGGCCATGTATTAAAAGCAACTGGGGAGATTTTTTTTTTTTTTTTTTTAATGGGGTTTTGCTTGTTGCTCAGGCTAGAGTACAAAGGCGCAATCTCAACTCACCGCAACCTCCACCTCCCAGGTTCAAGTGATTCTCCTGCCTCAGCCTTCCAAGCAGCTGAGATTACAGGCATGCCCCACCACGCCCAGCTTATTTTGTATTTGTTAAGTAGAAACGAGGTTTCTCCAGTTTTTTGAAAAAAACTATTGTTAACAGCTTATAACATTTATTCCTAGGTATTTTATAACTTTTATCGTTGCAAATTTTTTTTGTTTCTATTTCTAGGTATTTATGGTAATGTGGAGAAAAGTTACTGATTTTTTTCCCTTGGATTTCATCTGATCATCTAACTAGAGAAAAGCTACCAATCTTTAGACTTTTTTTTTGAGACGGAGTTTCGCTCTTGTTGCCCAGGCTAGAGTGCAATGGCACGATCTCAGTTCACTGCAAACTCTGCTTCCCAGGTTCAAGTGATTCTCCTGCCTCAGCCTCCCAAGTAGCTGGGATTACAGGCATGCGCCACCACACTTGGCTAATTTTTGTAGTTTTTAGTTGAGATGGGTTTTCTCCATCTTGGTCAGGCTGGTCTCAAACTCCCGACACAACATTATGCTGTTGATTCACGCAAATTTATTGTGCCATTTTTGACTCCTCTGAACCATTCCACTATGTGACTAAAACAGTTCATTCATACATTACCCTACAGAAGAAGAGCTAGATTTCACTATTATAGTGTTGCAGTAAACATGCTTGTTCATCCTTATACATGTACATTCTTGTACACATGATGATTTATCTACGAAGAAGTGGAATTACTGAATCAGAGCATCGGTGTCTTCCACTGTATAAGTATCACCTCATTTCTCTTTGAAGCAGCTGAAGCAGTTTATGTTCCTGACAACATTTTTTTTTTTTTTTTTTTAAGACAGTCTCACTCTGTTGCCCAGGCTGGCGAGCAGTGGCGTGATCTTGGCTCTCTGCAACCTCTGCCTCCCAGGTTCAAGCGATTATCCTGCCTCAGCCTCCCGAGTAGCTGGTACTACAGGTGCTGCCACCACGCCCGACTAACTTTTTGTATTTTTAGTAGAGACGGGGTTTCACCGTGTTTGCCAGGATGTTCTCCATCACCTGACCTCATGATCTGCCCACCTTGGCCTCCCAAAGTGCTGGGATTACAGGCGTGAGCCACGGTGCCCGGCAACATTGTTAAGATGAACCCTTTCCCCACATCCTTACCGACGTGATTATGAAGACATTTTTGCCCATATGATGGGTGTAAAATGATGGCTTGTTGTCTAATTTGTGTACTTCTGCTTGTTAGGTGAGGTTGAACATCTCCTCGTTTATTTATTAGCTACTCTGTTTTTCTCTTCTATGAAATACCTATTCATCCTTTTTGCTATGCAGGTGTATGTCTTTTTTAAATTTACCTGTAAGAGCTCTCTATATAGTCAGTCAATTTTATATATTGCAAATATCTTCCCAACAAGGGCTCATTTCCTCACTTTATTTATGGTAGCTTCTATTATATGGAAATTTTTAGTTTGAATTGATTCAAATAGACTATTTTCTTTGGGGTTTCTGCTTTTAAGATCTTGAGATACTCTTTCCTTCCTCAGGATCATAAAATATCCCCCCCCCAATTTTAGTCTGTTGAGGTTTTTAATCCATCTATAATGCATATGTGTGTGGTATCAGGTAGGAATATAACTTTATCTTTTTTCAGCACAAACTTTTCAAAAGTTAATCCTCTCCATGTTGATTTATGACACCTATCATATAACAAGTTCCCTTATATACTTGGGTCTGATTCTAGGTTTTCTACAAAGAATGTATAACCAGCTAATAGCAATATGGAAAAATGCTTACATAGCAATGCTAGAGCATTGCCTTAAAACAAGGCAAGAGCAGCCATAAAAAACGATGAGTTCGTGTCCTTTGTAGGGACATGGATGAACCTGGAAACCATCATTCTCAGCAAACTGACACAAGAACAGAAAATCAAACACTGCATGTTCTCACTCATAGGTGGGTGTTGAACAATGAGAACACATGGACAAAGGGAGGGAAGCATCACACACTGGGGTCTCTTGGGGGGAAATAGGGGAGGGACAGTGGGGGGTGGGGAGTTGGAGAGAGATAGAATAGGGAGAAATGCCAGATATATGTGATGGGGAGGAAGGCAGCAAACCACACTGCCATGTGTGTACTTATGCAAAAATCTTGCATATTCTTCACATGTACCCCAAAACCTAAAATGCAATAAAAAATAAAATAAATTAAGGTAAAAAATAATAATAATAAAAAAAAAAAAGGCAAGACTGGCTGGGCGCGGTGGCTCACACCTGTAATCCCAGCACTTTGGGAGGCTGAGGCGGGCCGATCACCTGAGGACGGGAGTTCGAGACCAGCCTGAGCAATATAGAAAAACCCCATCTCTACTAAAAATACAAAATTAGCCGGGCATGCCAGCTCATGCCTGTAATCTGAGCTACTCAAGAGGCTGAGGCAAGAGAATCGCTTGAATTGGGGAGGCAGAGGTTGCGGTGAGCTGAAATTGTGCCATTGCTCTTCAGCCTGGGTAACAAGAGTGAAACTCCATCTCAAAAAAAAACAAGGTAAGACTGGCTGGGTGCAGTGGCTCACACCTGTAATATCAACACTTTGGGAGGCTGAAGTGGGAAGATCACTTGAGCCCAGGAGTTCAAGACCAGCCTAGGCAACATAACAAGACCTCGTCTCTACAAAACAAACAAAAAACAAGGCAAGATTAAGCCAGGTGCTGCGGCACATGCCTCTAGTCCCAGGTACTTGGGAGGCTGAGGCAGGAGGATCGCTTGAGCCCAGGAGTTCAAGGGCATAGTGTGCTATGATTACACCTGTGAATTGCCACTCCACGGCACTCTAGCCTGGGCAACACAGTGAGACCCTATCTCTTTAACAAAAGAAAAAACGCAGTACTGATCTTGACCACATAAAATAACATGTACACAAAAGACAATATTAAGGTTGGGTGCAGTAGCTCACACCTGTAATCTCAGTAGTTTGGGAGGCTGAGTTGGGAGGATTCCTTGAGCCCAGGAGTTTTGAGACCAGCCTGAGCACCACAGTGAAACCCCATCTCTGCAAAAAATTGAAAAAAAAAAAAAAAAAAAAAAAAAAAAAAAAAAAAAAAAAAAAAAAAAAAAAA